AACACGGACTTGTCTGTCCAGGACCTCCCAAACACTTGGTGAATTGCAAGCTCTGGGCCCTCAGAATTCAACTCTGACACAGGAAATGGAGATTTGGATATTATTCTGGTGATTTTATTTTTTTTCCTGAAGCATTAATGAAAAAGCTCTTTAAAAGCATGTTATTCATTTTCCTGAATAAATTACTGCCTCTGGCAAAGGCTGGACACCCCACTAGGTGGTCAGTGTTACTGCTTAGAAGAACCCACTGAGATTACTTTGTCAGACACAGGACACAAAACACACCAGCTCTTTAACAGAATCACTTGATTCTGTTAACTCGACAGATGTTAATGACATCTCTCCATGCCTTCTCTTTGGGAAAGGTGGAAGCTGGGCACCAGTGGTACCTCCAGGTGATCTACGTGATCGGCCCGGAGGGCACGGCCGGGCCCCGTGTGCAGCGCTCCCTGGCTCGCCGCTGGCAGCGCGGCCGCAGGGACCTGCCCGAGGTCCTGGATGACTCCCTCATCTACGACAACGAGGGCGACCAGCTGAAGAACGGCACCAACATGAAGTCGCTGCTCTTGGAGAGGGAGGAAGCTGCCACTGCAGCCTCCTTGTCCCAAGCGGGCGCCTCCCTGGGTAGCGCCTTCGCCGCCCTCACCCTGCTGCTGCTGGTGCTGTCCGGAATTTGCCTCCTGGCCAGGGAGTGCCGCAAGCTGCGGAGGAAGCGGGAGGCTGCCGGGGGCGCTCCTGAGGAGCACCCCTTGAACACCAAGGTGGAGCTGCCTCGGGGCGGCCCACAGGCCGTGGGCAGCCGGTGTTGCACCGTCAGGAACGTTCATCCCCCGCGGGACTACGGCGGCGGCTGCCAGGGGCACGGCAGGAAGGTGAAGCAGGTGAACTTGGAAGTCAAAGTCCATAGCAATTTGCACGACGGCACAGAAGTTTAATGGAGCACACGCGTTGGGAAAAGCTTTTTATAAACTGTAAAATAAAGATAACCCCAAACTGAAAAGCCACGTGGGTTTTTTTTAGTCTGCTGAGGAGGAGCAGCTGTCAATTCCCGCTGCTCCTGTCCTAGCGACTTTGCCGCATGGCATCGCTGTCCTCTCTCGGTGCTGCTCCAGCTCTCCCCGGCGCTGGGCAGCGTGGGGAAATAATCCCTCACCCCCGGCATGTGGGAGCTCTCACCCAGTCTCTGCGTCCTCTGGAAGAGAGTAAAGCTGAAATAAAAACTTCAACCCGGGTGCCCAGGCTGTCCTGTCCTCTGCCACCCCTACGGTCCCGCTCATTCCCCTGGGGTGTGGCGGGAGCCCCTCGGAGCTGCGGCGCCGGGGAAGGGAAGGAGGGAGTCACGGGCTTCTCTGGCCCGGGGGCTCCGCAGTCTCGGGGTCGGCCTCGGGGAGCACCGGGGCCGGGAGAGCTCCGGAGTGCGGTGTCGGCCCTGCCCCGCACCGCGCTCCGTGTCCGCCAGAGGGCGCTCTGCGGGGTCCCGCCCCACACGGCGGCTCCGCGCCCGCACCGGGGAACGGCCGCGATCCCGCACCCGGCAGCGCCCCGTGCCCGCGGCCATCCCGGGCTCGATCCAGACCCCGATGCCGCCTCGATCCTCCCGACGAGGGAGAGGCGGCACAGCCCGAGACCCCTCGGCAGACCCCGGCAGCTCCATCCCGGCTCCGGCTGTGGGCTCCATCGTCCGCTTACGGTCGACCTCGTCCCGGCATCGTAGCAGGAGCGGGCATCGAGTCCAGGCTGGGCTTTGCCCAGTCCTCAGCCCAGTCTCAAGCCCAGTCCGGCCGAGAGCCGCAACCCTCCCGCCGGGGCAGAGGCAGCCCCGCCCCGCGAGCGGGCACCGGCAGGACTCGGTCTCACAGCCCCGTCCCCAGTCGCGGCCCCGCCGCAGCGCTCCGGGCTCCGAGCGGTCCCCGCTACACGGGGCCGGGGCTCACATAGCGCCGAGCGAGGGTCCCGGGACAGCGGTACGGGGGGGCGGGGGCCACAGAGTGCGGGCACGGGATGCTCCAGCGGGACCGCGACGGCGGCCGGAGGTCCGGATGCCGAGCACTGCTGGGGTCTGCCGAGGTCCCGGGCGGTGCCGCCTCTCCTCCGTCGGGAGGATGGAGGCGGCAGCGGGCCCGGGATCGGTTTCGGGCCCGGGATGGCCGCGGGCCCAGGGCGCTGCCGGGTGCGTGGCCGCGGGACAGCGGTGCGGGGGGCAGGGCTGGCACAGGTGTGGGGGCGGGGCCGGACGGCACAGGGGGCGGGACTAGTTTGGGTGTGCAGGGCGCGCCCAGCTCAGGTACGCGGGGCCCCAGGGCGGCTGCGCGGGGCGGGGCCGAGGTGATTTAGACCCCAGAAATCGCCTCGACCGGCATTTACTCCCTCAGAGCACGGGGCAGACGGGAGTTCCCTGTGCGGGCTCCCCTTCAGTCCCTCTCTCTACTCCTCCTTCCTTCTCCGCCTATTCCCTTTCTTTCTCCCCCTTCCCTCTTACCCTGAAACGCTCCTTTCCTCTCCTCCCAAACCCGACCCCCCCCCCCCCACTCCTTCCCGTCCAGTCCCTTCCCCGCTACTCCTTTCTATTCCTCCTCTCTCTACCGTCCCTCTTCTCCCACCTTGGCCTTTCCCTTCCTCTCCCACTTCCCTCCTCACTCTGACCCCTCTCCCTCCCCGTCCTCACCACCCCCATCTCTTCTGTCTCCCCATCCTCCCCTCTCCTTCTTTCCTCGCAGCCGCGGGGCTTGGGGTGCCGGGCAATAATAAAGCCCTGAGGGCCGGAGCCTGGCACCCCTGCCCTCGCTGGGACCCCACACGGGGCCGGACCCGCTCTTAAGGTGCCCCCATTGCAGTCCGACACACCGCCGGGGCTCCGGCTTTCCCAACATCACACAGGGGGGTGGGTCTTGGCGTGGGGGGTCCGAATTACAGAGGCCCCCTCAATAGAGGGAGTCACGGGGGAGGGGGGATTAGGAGGCGCCCCCTCTGGAGGAAGGGGTCCCTGGGGGGGAGGTCGGGAAGGGCCCCCTCCAAAGGAGGGAGTCGAAGGGAGGGAGCAGAGCCTGAGGGGTAACTCCCCCTCCAGGCCCCGCCCCCTCCCCCGGACCGGGGCCCAGGGGGAGGGACGGGGGCGGGTAGGGGGGAAGCAGAGGGGGGCAGGTCATTGCAGCGTGAGCCCACATTAAAAAAAAAAAAAGGGGGGAATGGAGAACGAGACTAGGGGAGTGGAGGGGTAGGTGGAGAGAGGTCGGGGTGTGCAGGGCAGCAGGGGACAGAGCTGGGGGGAAGGCAGGGTGGAGAAAGGAGCAGGACTGAGGGCGGGTGGGGAGCGACTGGGGGTGGGGGGGGAAAGGAAACAGGAAAAGGGGGCAGGGGGGAGTCTGGTCAGGGAGGGAAGGAAGAGCATGAGGAGTAGGGTAGGGGAATAGAGAGGGGGGGGCGGGGGGGCGGCCATAGGGGAGGAAGGAGGGGAATTTTGACAGGGGGAGGAAGAGACAAATAAAAGCAAATCTAAGGGGAAAAGATATACAAAAGAAAAAAAACGCAGAAGAAACGTAGAGAAAAAGAGGTATAGGGCCCCGGCCAGCAGCAACCTCCCTTATCCAACGCTGAGGAGCAAATGGCGCCACCAGCTCATCCCCGCGGCTTAAATCCCCCAATGCCCCGCCCCGCGCAGCCGCACTGGGGTCCTTCACACGTGTGCAGGCCCCGCCCCTCACACCTGTGCCGGCCCCGCCGCCGGGGCCCCGCCTCTCCCCCGCCCGCCCATAAATCCCGGCGGATCCACACCTGTCCCGCTTTCTGTGGGGGGTGCTCATCTTGGGATGCGGCGGGAGCGTCGGTCTGAGTGCTGTGCGGAGATCCGATCGGGGGCTGCTGCTGGTACTGCGTAGGGTCCAAGGCGCTCAGGTCGGACCGGGATCTAGGCCCGGGGATTTGGGCTCTGATTTTGTTGGTATTTCCTGTGGGAGCTGGGCCGAGCCGTTTCTTCCTTGGTGAGCCGAGTATGGGTGCTGGGGCCGGAGGATTGAGGGGGGACTGGGATCGGGACCGGTATCGCCGCGGTCGGGATGAGCTACTCCGGGACAGGTGCTGCTATTCCGGCTGCAGCCAGTGCAGGGCTGGCTCCCGCTGGCGCTCCAGGCATGCTCTGGCGGTAAGGAACCGGTGCTGTGCTACTGCAATGCCCGCCAGGAGGACGACGCTTCCCGGGATCAGCCTCTGGATCGCGGCTGGAAGTGGGAAGGACACGGAAACCGCCTGTACCAGCCCCGGGACCCCATCGGCATCGCCGCTCACTCAGCGACACCGCCTGCCCCGCGGGGCGCCCCCTGGCGGACACAGCGCCACCCCGCAGCCCCCCCGGCCCGGTAACGTCACGAGCACCGCGCTCCCCTACGAGCCACAGCGCCCGCAGCCCCTGCTCCGTGTCCGCACCCCCGGGGGCTGCAGTGCCCCGGCCGAGAGCAGCCGCTCTGGGACGGCCGCTGGGGCCGAGGTGTTGCTGCTCCTGCTCCGATTGTGCCTGGTGTGGGACTGGAGCCCCAGGGAAACACAGGGGAAAAACCCCCAGTGTTAAAAAACCAGTGGAAACTAATTGTTCTTTATTTCCAGAGCCATGAGGATCATTGAGTTAAATGCTGAGAAGTGACTGGCCCAGCTACACATGGAACATGGAATTCTGGCCTTCTCAGCACCCTACTCCAAACACCTGAGCCAATCCCAGGGTTGTTCCAAAGGTCCTGTGTGGGATGGGAATGACTGCTGCCAGTAAGAGAACTCCTCTACAAATGCAGCTCCTTCCCTTCTGCTAATGCTGCTTTACACACCAGCCCCTGCAATGGCTGTAGGGCAGAACTGGCTGGCACTCAACATGTCAGCACCAAACTCTTCCCCATAACCCTGCTTTTTCTGCCCTTTCCAGGATTTACCCAGCAGCTGTAAATGTGCTCCCACAATGTCCCATTGTTTCCCCAGGAACAAGACAACTCCTGAGGGTCACCTTGCTCTGTGGCAGGGGTGTTTCCTGCAGGTGAGTGTTGCCAGGTCAAAACGATGATGGCTGCTGAGGCCAGGGCTGTTTTTCTGGCCCAGAGGCCTTGGTGTCTCTCCTGCTTGCTGCCAGTGATGCTCCTTGGTGTTCCCTCAGTGTGTCCCAGCTGGCTGGGAGCGCAGGGCAGGAGGAGGCCAGAAGCTCCTGAAAGGCAAGCAGCACCTGGTGTCTTTGGGATCTGCAGGGGAGGAGCTGTGCCTGCACTGTGGCTCCTTGGCCAGGGGCTGCTCTGACCAGGCACGTGGAAATGCTTCAGCCTGGACAGAGACCACCAACAGCCCAGAAGGACCCCAAGGAGCAGCTGGCATTACTGGGAATGGAGGCAAGGGCCGTTTGCAGAGGGGCTCACACAGCAATTCCTGGTTCAGAGCTCCCACACAGCTGCCAGCTATGTCCCAGCCACCCCAAATCCCTTCCCTCCTCCCCAGCCTGAGGCCATCATCCATCAGCAGCATTAAAGCCAAGGCAGTCTTCCCCCACAGATATTAAATCCCAGGCAGTAGCCCTCAGAGATACCTGAAAATCAGTGGGATGGAGTTTGGAGTTTTCCAGGGATCCAGCTGGAAGTGCAGATGTCATGGAAAGCTTTCACAGGTAGGTCCCACTGAAGGTGTGCTGAAGACAGAGATGCACATCCCTTTCCTGAGAGAAAAGAATTTGTAGAGGCCACTGCTGAGGCTCTGAAAGGAGCTGAGCTTCTGCAGGGAGAGATGTCCCCACCTGGGCACAGGGGCTGCCTCAGCACAGGCTGGGAGCACATCTGGCCACTGCCTTCTCCTGCTTTAAAACACCAACTGCATCTTCTCCATCCTGGAGCTCAGGGGGGTGAAATCAGCTCCATTCCAGGCAGCTCTGTCCAGTGAGCCCAGGGACACCATTGGGGTGAGGGTTCTAAATAGCCAGTTCTATGGAATAGAACCCTGTCCTTGTCCCTGTGCTGCTGAGCCTCCTTGGAAGCTCTGCTGGCTCCTGACACAGCTGCTGTCCAAGGCAGCAGCTCTGCATGGGAATACCCACACTCCATGGGGCACTGTGGGGTTACTGCAGTGGGAATGGAGCAGGGAAGTTGGGGCTATGGGTATAATTCATCAGATCTAGCACAGCTGACAGGGAACCCCAAATCTGGGCACCACACAGAGAACAATCTTTGTCCTGCCCTGTCAGCTCAAACCCCTGGGCTGGGAAGTTTTGGGAATAGAATGTATGGAATTATACAAACCACAGCAAGTGGCATCAGCCAGAGGGACAATCCAGGTCCCAGACAATTCTTCCACAATCCACTATGGGGGAAAACACCCTGTGCCTGCCAGGAGCTCTGACTCTGCTTTTCCTACCAGCTCCTGAGCAGTGTCAGGGCCACCATGAGAAGTTTAAAATCCAAATAAACTCCATATCCCACACAGTGAATAATCCAAATAAAGAAATGCATTCTTGTCATCAAAGCTCAAAACTGTGTCAGGAGTTCTGACAACAAGTTAATGGGATTCCCAGGAATCTCATTAATGCTCTTGGTTTCATTTTTATGTATTTTTAATCTCTCAGTGGGCAGCCTGTACAACTTATCCTGGGATTTAGAGGCTGAGCAGGGCTGGCTTTGGATTGACCTTCACCTCTGGCCCCAGCCTGTGCAAACACACCTTGTGCCAGGCTGGGTGAACTCATCACCTCAGCTTTTCCCTCCTAAATATCCCCTACTTCTCTCTCTGGAGATTAACTCCCATTTTGCCCCAAACCATCCACTCCTCACCTCCATGGGGCCTCCAAGTGTCCATTCTGTTCCTCACAGGTGCCCTGGTGACACCATGTTGGTCCCTTTGCCTTTCTCCAGCCTGAGGCTGCTCCTCTGCTCGCTCTCTCCAGCCTCATCCCACAGGGATCCTCTTCTCCCTTCCCTGCTGGCTGCTGCCAAGGAAGGAGGACACAGTGAGTCTCCAGTGCTGACCCCTTAGCCCTGGAGAGTCCTGGCTGTGGGCCCGAGGGGCCTTGGATTTCCCAGGGAAATTGTCTGCTGGTCTCCCTTCAATTACCTCAGCAATTCCCTCAAAAATGCCACCTCACTCCCCCTGACATCCCCTCACATTTTCCTACACAAACAGTTCTTGTATCCCCTCTAGATTACACCAGGTTTTCAGCTACATGAATGGCATCATCTATGCCCACTGCTTGTTATTCACCCAACCAAAATCAAGAGCAAATGTTGGTTAGGCTTTAATAACAACTTAAAATAACTTTAGAGCAAAATAAAACACCTTTTTCTTCTGCTTTTTGGGGTTTTTTTTCTCCTTCAGCTGCTGGACTTACCTCTGAGGATGTGTGCTGAGCTCTGGGTGGAGGGGACTGTCAGGCTGAATGGCTGTGAGTTTGTGTTCTTCTCACTGGGGCATCAGCAATTCCCCCAGTCCTTTTCCCAGGCTGTTCCATGTGGCTGTGGTCAGGCTGTGGCAGCACAGGCAGATGCAGCTCTCAGCACTCCCTGCTCCAAACACAACTCTGGCCTCCACTGCAATCTGTCTTGCTGGGAGGTTTTCTCCTAGAGAAATCCAAGAATTGCTCATGGCAATTTGGAGAATCAATTTCCACAAAGGGAAGTAAGGAATAAAATCCTGCTCTAGGAGCCCTTGGGATCTGCAGGGCTGGTTAGGGAAGGGGACATTTGCTCCCTGCAGTGCTCCCTGCAGCCCCTCTCTGAGCACCCTCCCTGAGCAGCCCAAAGCTCTGTCTGGCAGCCCAGGGACAAAGGGACACTCCCAGGGATGAGGCACATTCCCAGCAAACGCTCCCAACAGAGCACAGACGAACCCCTGGAGCTCCTGTGTGGGGCTGGCAGGAGGGCACAGCCCCCAGCTGGGCTGGCAGTGGCAGTGACAGCAGCAAAGTGCCATGGTCTGATGGCACAACACAGACACCAAGGCCAGCAATGCCCATGGGAGGTGCACAATTAATTCTGCTCCCTGTGCTGCCCCATCCCAGCAGGAAAGCTCCAGGGGGGGTGGAAACTCCTCCCCCTTCCCCCCAGCCCCAGATAAGCACTCCTCAGTTTCAAACACCCAGTTCTCACCTCCAGCCTGCTCCCGGGGCTGCTGCCACATTCCTGACAAGGTGCCAAAGGCCACTTGGGACAGGGCTCCCTCTGTGTCTTAGGGCTTGGGGATGGCAGGGACCAGGGTGCTCCATCAAGGACAGCCTGAAACCAGAGCAGATGTCCCAGGGTTAGCAATGGGCTGGGGACAGGAGCTCTAAAACCCAGAGTTCTGAAAACAGCCCCCAAAATGTTCTATGATCATACCCTTAAAATGGCTCCAAAGGGCAGCAGCTCCAGTGCCAGACCAGTACCTGCACGATTCCCTGTGCCAGCCCTGGCTCACTGAAAAACAAAACAAATCAACCATCACCCAGGCCTTGTTTGCAGAATTCCTGATCCAAACCCTCACCTTTCCTGCCCAGCACTGAGGGAAATCTGACACAGCATTAATAAGTGACCTTTGCTGAAAGCAGCCATCATCACAGTCCTCCAGCCTTGGCAAGATTTTGCACTGAATGGACCTAAGTTCTAATCCTGAACCTAAATTTCTGTCAGTTTTTGTTAGAAAGACACTGAACAGTAAATCATGCAACAGAATTGAAAAATTGCACAAGGAATAACAAGGCCCAGAGCAAACCCAACCACCCCCATCACTGCTCCACCCCAATGTTGGGAGAAATGCTGATATCATTTCTAAATACTCCCCTTCCCTCCCACTCAGTCCTTCACTGCACATCCCTGGAGAGGACTGACTCCATCTTTTGTTGCCAACAGCACCTCTCCAGCCCAAAGCCCACTTCTCACAGACACAAACTAAGCAAGCCTAAGGCATTGTTCCCAGCAGCAGATGCAATTCCTGAACTCCCTTTCCCCTGGATTCTAAGCACTTGCAGGAAACTCACCTCAGCCCAGAGACTGTTCTGCTTTCCCAGAGGGAAATACAGCCTGATGGGCCACAGCTCTGGCACCACATTGCCCTTGTTCCTGCTGACCTGGAAAGCCACAGGTAAACCCAGTCCCTCAGAGCCCATCCCTGGGCACCAGGAGAGCTGGAGCTGCTCCCAGATGCCAGGGCCCTGCAGGGCTGTGCTGACACGAGCACAGGCTGACCACTGTGCCCAGCACCATCCCTCATTCTCCTCCCATTGCTCCCAAATCCTCCCAGCCCTGCCCCTGCATCTGTGCCAGGGCCATGCCTGCCCCCAGCCCGAGCAGAGGCTGTCACCCAGCCCTGCACCGGCTGCCAGCCCTGGCAGAGCTGAGAATGCACTGAGAGCTCCCGAACCCCCAGAGCAGTCCTTGGGTGCACAGATAATGCCCAACCTGCCCCTCAGGGCACAGCCAACACCACAACTCCAGCATCCCCAGGGAACTCTGGCATTTGTCTCTTCACCTCTGCCCTTCTCCAGCAGACACAGCTGGGGCTGGGCTGTCAGCAATGGCATTCCCATGGCAGTTAATCCCAGCAGAGAGGAAAAGAGGAGCCCTGTGTCCCTCTGGCTCACCCCACAGCATGGGCAGGACCAGAGCCCTCCAGTGCAGACCCCTGGTGCTGAGGCCTCTTGCCTTTGGCTGCTTAAACACCAAAGCTTTTGGCAAAGGTGGGAGGAGTTTGATGACTTTTCCTGCCCTGAAAGAGAGGAAAAAAAGAAAATTAAATCCACTGTGGAAGTCAAAGGATCCTAGCTCTCATACTTCTGCTCTGATTGCTCACTATGGGGTTTTATCCATGAGAGGTGACACCAATTCAAACATAAACGTGTCCTTTTCCAGCACTTTTATTCCTGACTATTTCAGACATTGAAAGGATGCTCATTTTTCTTATTGCATTCTTCCGCCGATCTGACACCTAAGTGATGGAAATTCAGAGTTTGGCCGTGGCCACCACCTTCTGGTAGGAAATGTTATCATATTATCCCAAATAGTCACAGAACAAAACAAATAAAGGCATTTTAAATCCTAAGCTTATGAAGTGGAAGTGCAGATGAGATCAAATGCACAAATTCAGGTAAGATATGGACTGTAATCACTGTTTCTGTGGTTAATGGCTTCGTGTTCGAACCTGAGTGACCCCCCCCTCTCCTCTGTCACCTGTGTGTCCTTGCTGTGCTTCCTTGAGTGTCCCAGAATACCTTGGAAGAGATTCTTCCCCTGCTCCTGCCTGTATTTGTCAGAAATGGTTCATTTAGACAGCACAGCACTCACAAAGAACCAGCCCCACAGGAGTCACAGCACCATTGCACTCACCCTGAAATCCTGGCCTGTTGGATCAGTGGAAGAAATGTGGCACTCAATCTGAGTGATCAGCAATCAGTGGAAGAAATGTGGCACTCAATCTGAGTGATCAGCAAGTCTCGAACTTTATTGAAAGTTCACACATATTTATATTGGTGTTAATGAAGTTCATACATATTGCAAAGCTGAGCTCATTATTGGTTAATTACTCATCGGTCAACCACGCCTACTTCTGTATTCTTATGGTTATTTTGTTACTACTTCTACATTCTTGTGGTTATTCTACTGAAACTATCATCATATTTTTGGCAAAAGATCCTCTCCTCTATCCTATTGTTGCACCAAGGGCACAATGTCCTTGCCCATCATTGGACACTGACTGCTGACTCCTAGACTTGTCTCCTTCTAGCTTGACCAGTGGTATCATGTCTACGTGACCTTTTTCAGCTAGCCAACTGTCCACAAAGCTCTCCACACTTCCCCCCTTTTTCTGTTGAACAAGCATGGTCTGATTAAATGCAGCAGATATCATCTTTTGCACCATGTTCTGTAGGCACATGCAAAAGCATGGCAAAATTAACACTACTAACAAAGCTATAATGCCCACTATAATGCTGACCTTAACAATAGAGCATAACCATGATCCCAGGCCTAAAGATTTGAGCCATTCATCAATACCAAAACCCGATTCTATCTGTAAGTTTCCAGTTAACCTCTGCAAGTCAGAGAGTTGGGAGTGGATGGATTGTGAATGGTAAGAAAGGTTCATGCAACACATGCCCTCAAATTCTTCACAACCATGGCCTTGTGCAAGTAAAAGAAAATCAGTTGCAGCTCTATTTTGAAGCGTTGCATGGCGAATAGAATCAACATCAAGCAAAAGACTAGAAAGTGCCAAAGAGGTGGCATTGGCTTGCTTAGCCAGCCAACATCCCAACTTGTTTAAAATGGCATGAGCTGCTGATATCCCTTGGAGCCAAGAAAGATGCTGCAACTATGGCCTCTGGGCACCAGAATTTTACATCATCCCTGCAGTCTGCAGCAAATGCATGAGCCATTCGTTTATTTCGATGATGGCGGCAGCTCATGTTCAGTATCATGGACGTGTTAGGTGTAAGTAGAGACAGCCGTCCAATTGTACACGGTCCCCCGTGCAGCACTGATGGTGTACCGGCCCAAGCACGGTCCCCACATATCAGGAAGTAGCCTGCTGGCAATTGAATAGGGTCATTTGATGAGATTGCCATTTTCTTTGTGGTATAATTGCACCAAGCTGTTGCATTTTGGTAGACAGCCATGCTGGAGGTTACCATATTGGAATGGTTCTTGGCTGGCAGCTGGCTTCTATGGTTGAAATTAAGACATGCGTCTGCCATCACTGAACCTAACAGCTCCAATTCTTGGGGCTCCTGTGGTGCTATGGGAAAAAAGGAAACCCATTGGTCTCAATTATCTACACTTGCCCTGGCATTGTTGACTCTACAGGTGGGTACATGTGAGGGGCATGGCCAGGGATCTGCTGGTAACCCAACCAAACAGGTTGTAAATGGATTACCGGGAGAAGATAATGACAGGCAAATAGCCTCCTGGTTAGTTAAGTTTGCCAGGGTGACCCAGATGTTAGTCTTGGGCTGAAGTGGGGCCCATACTTGAAGGGCTTCCACTCCTCCAGCAATGTCTGTACTGTCTATTAAGAGGGTGAAGATTAGTAAAACAGCAGCATAAGTTTGCCACGTCACCCTGATCTTCTCTGGCACTGCTTTTTAATAACAAAGATAGGGGTATTCCATGGACTTGTTGACAACTGTAAATGACCTTGCTTATATTGGTCGTGTACTAGTATATGAACTTGTTCCAGACTTTCCCTTTTTAACGGCCATTGCTTAACCCACACTGGAACGTCCGTGGTCCAAGTTAATGGGATTGGGAAAGTCCACGCAATGGCCATTAGCCCAAAGGGTGCTCATTTGTCAGCACTACTCCCATTTGAGCCAAAATATCCCAACCAATGAGGCACTGCACAGTAGGGGGCAAAGGTACAATTGAGAAAACGCTCCACAAAGTTTTTCCATCAATAGTTACGGATAACATGGGTGATTTTCTTGCAGGCGTTAGGCCTCCAACCCCGGTAACTGTCACTGTGGTTGGCTGTAATGGCCAGTTGTGGGGCCAGAAATCTGGACTAACAATGCTGGAGTCCGTGCCAGTATCTAATAAACTTTCCAAGGTTTGCCTCCCACCCCGATACTCCATTATTACAGTGTGCTTTGGTCGATCATTCAGGTTCATTGTTAATAGAGTGAGTCCTCCAGTGGAACCAAAGCCTCGTTCCCCTCTCGACTGTGATTGACGAGGGGGTAAAGTTTTAGCCATTTGTTCCAAAGGAACCAATTGAGCTATCCTTTGTCCTTTCTCGATTTGTATAGGTGGAAAAAGAGTATGTACCATGACACAAATCTCCCCCGTATAATTAGCGTCTATTACCCCGGCTAAAACAAATAATCCCATTATGGTAGCCAATGAATGACCCAGAAGTAAAGCTCCCATAGGTAATCCATCAATAATGATTGGTCCCATTATTCCAGTCGGAACCTTTTCCGGTTGGGTGGTCATCAATGTTACTGCTACTGAGGCTGCCATGTCCAGCCCAAGGCTCCCGGCGGTGGCTGGTTGAAGGGAAGCTGTGCTGAGGTGTTGACAGCAGCTACTTGTGTCTGGGCATGGCGACTGGTGGACGCGCTGGCCTTCCCCTTTTCTGAGTGGCGTCGGCAAGCTCCGGTGTTGTGGGTGTCCAAGCAACAATTTTGGCACCAGACGCTGGCTGCTTGACAAGCCCATCGCGTATGTCCTAGACCTCCACACTGGTAACATTTGAATCGGCCAGGAGATGGAGCCTGTGGAGTATTTATTGCCGCTGCTTGTAGGAGTGCAAGAGCAGCTAACACCTGACTCTGTGAGGCTGCTGCTTGTTTTTGTAATCCTACTCCTAACTCCTTAATAGCTTCTACTAACATCGCTTGATTTCCTATGGGCACATTTGCCAATCGTTCTAAAGCTTCTTCTATAGACCAATTAGCTCCTAGGGTATTTAATACGTTCTTTGTAGCCTGATTACTGTTCTGGAGTGCGCATTGTTTCCACAAAGTACCCTTCATGAAATCAGGGACTCCTACCCACCTGATAGCATTGGCTACCTTATCTATAAAAGATCTAAATGACTCATCTCTTCCTTGCTTTATTCCCATATAAGAAGGAATCTCCCCTGGCTCTTTTATCCTATCTATAGCTAATTGCACCAGGCGCATAGCCTCCCGACATTTATCAGGACCGATTAACGCCTGTGTTTCTGTCCGAAGAAAAGGCCCTAAACCCATTAGCTCCTCTAGGGTTATCCCATGTAACGGGTCGCCTGGCTGCTGTGCTACTGCTATACATTCCTGGCAGAGTGACTGCCAGTGTGCATTAAACAAGAGCTGCTGATGCTGAGTGAAGATAAGCTTCGCTATTCCTATGCAATCAGATGGCAGCAAAACCTGAGTCCCCCAGATATAATCAAGCATGTGTTTTGTGGACTCACTGGTTACCCTGAATTGACTAACTGTGGACCATAATTGTGACAACAGCTTCCAGTCTAGAGCAGTTATTGTTGCTTGAAACCCGCCCCCTGCCACGGGTGAATATATCACCGGACAAGCAACATCCATAGCTGCTGCTATAACCTCTCTATCCCCTGAGTCCATGATATCTTTTGCTACCGCTGCCCATGCCTTCCTTTGCTCCTGTGCAATGGCCCCCGCTAGGTCACTCTCTGGCCCAGGGATCGGCTCATTACTAGGAGGAGGAGATGGAGGGTCTGGCCATGGTACAGGCGGTGCAGACGGTGCTGCTGTGGCACGCACGGGGGGTGAGTTGCTGCTTGAAGCAGGAGCTGATGTTGGTGGCAAGATGACTGTGGATGTGGCAGGGGGTAAAGGACAATTAAACCAGTCCCCATAACCCTTATTCTTATCATGTGCTATGCTAGCTTGTTTAGCAGCCTTTTCTTCTGCCTGATATTGTAATAACTCATCATGCACAACTCGCCATATTTTTTGCAGTTTTATCATCATCTATGACTGCCTCCCACAGCTTGTCTCCAAATTTACGCCACTCTGTTAACTCATGTACTGTATGAGGATTTTGAAAAAGTCCCTGTTCATACCCATAAGCTAACAACCCATGTAGCTCCTTCTGCAAATCTATGCCCTTAACCTAACGCTTTTGTAAAAAGCAAGTAAATAAATCATATGCTGCTTGCCTTTCTCTTTCCATTTTAAGAACATCAGCGCTGTTGCAGCCCCAAAAGGTCTCGGCAGCACGTATCAGCCAGGCTCTCCGTTGAGGTCACCTAGGGCACGGCACTTTTCCCTTTTTCAGCGGTGCTTATTGGCCGTCCTTGCTGCGACAGGACTCGAACTCCTACACCGATCCACCGTGGTTGCCATTACAGGAATCACGTCACTGGGGTCACCATTTGTTAGATCGGCGGAAGAAATGCGGCACCCAGTATGAGTGATCAGCAAGTCTCGGACTTTATTGATAGTCACACATATTTATATTGGTGTTAATGAAGTTCATACATATTGCAAAGAAGAGCTCATTATTGGTTAATTACTCATCGGTCAACCACGCCTACTTCTGTATTCTTATGGTTATTTTGTTACTACTTCTACATTCTTGTGGTTATTCTGCTGAAACTATCCTCATATTTTTGGCAAAAGATCCTCTCCTCTATCCTGTTGTTGCACCAAGGGCACAATGTCCTTGCCCATCACTGGACACTGACTGCTGACTCCTAGACTTGCCTCCTTCTAACTTGACCAGTGGTATCATGTCTACGTGACCTTTCTCAGCTAGCTAACTGTCCACAAAGCTCTCCACACTGGCCAACAGCACCAGCTCTGTGCCCTATCTCCAAACTTCTGTCTGCCCAAAGTTTTCAGTCCCAATTCGGCAAGACAAGAGAATTGAAAAGGATTCAAGTCTTGAACATCAGATAGTGACAAAAATGGCCTTTTAATTTCTACCTCTTAACCATGAATTAACCTCTTAACCATGAAACTGTGACTTCCTGACCCTTGTAATGAGCTTCCCCAGGCCAAGGGATGCCTCAAGCAGAGCAGGGAGGCTCTGCAATGGAACATAGCCCAGAAACTCTTCCAGCCGGGCACCCCCCAAAGCCCCGGGGCTTGGCGCCTGGCTTTGGGCTGGGCTCTCGGCTCCCTCCTTCCTCCTGTCCCTCCTCCCTGCCTGAGGCAGGAGCCGCAGGGGCTGCGGGAGCAGAGGCTGCAGCCTCTCCTCGCTGCTGCCTGCGGAGCCAGAGGCGGCGGCGGAGCTGTAAGCGGGGTAGGTACCCCGGGGGGATCGGGCTGGGGCTGCCTTCCCCCGGGGCTGGGCTGCTCCTGCCTCCCTGCTGCAGCTGGGAGCTGGGGGAAAACCGCGGGAGCTCGGCGAGCAACAGGTCTGTGTGTGTGTGAGAGAGAGCTGGAATGCTGCTGCCACTGTTGGAGGTGCCCTGGTTGGCAGGGGGCACAACACTGCCTGCCCCGGGATCCCGGTGATGCCAGGGACCTGCCGGCTGGAAACAGCCCCCCTTGGGCTGCCCGGGGTGGGCAGGGCTGGGATAAGGAGCAGTTTGGGATGGGGATGGCAGCAGGTACCCCTGAGCCTCTGCCTTTGGGCTTCCAGCCCCTGAATTGCAGGAGGGCCTGGGCTGGGAGCTGGAGCATTCTGCAGAGCTCCAGAATTGGGGAAAGAAGATCCTGGGGCTGATTGTTTTGTTTTGTTTTTTCTCAGTAGTTAAGACAAGTTCACATCATTTTATTTTGCTCTTCTAACAGTAGCAGGTACCTTCAGTAGGAGGAAAGTGTCTGGAGCTTGAAGTAGCTCATGTTAGCATTGAAATCTGAACCTTGTCAGGGGCTGCAAAGTCTGAAATGCAGTGAGATCAGTTTGGGGTGTTTTGCTGGGGAAAGGGGTGTAAACAAGTGTAACTGAGCATTTCCTGAGGCTGGCAGGTAAGATGGCACCTCATCCCAAAAGAAAGGATCTGTGCTGCTGGGGTTTTTTTCCAAAAGAAAATCCTAGCAAGGAAAACTTCCTTGCAGTCCTTGCTGTTTGGACTGCTGTGGGTTGCAGCTGTCATTTACTGAGCAGAATTGGCTTCAACTGGAGTCAAACCAGGAGGTTTCCCAGGTAACCTCTCAGCATGTCAAATTCCTGACATCAATCAGAGGTACCTATCCATGTTATCCAGGTTAGGCTTAGAATTTGGTGTTAATTAAAACTGAGTCGCTGAGCTGAGGCAGCAGCAAATGGAAATTCAAGAGCACCAAAAGGATTCAAATCCTCAGAGCAGGTCACAGGAAAAAAAAAATCAATGATTACTTAAAACCCCTGTGTGGATGTGGATGGTGATGTAAAGGGAGCAGTCAGAAGGCAGGAAGGTACAGGGAGAGTTCAGCCCTTCCACAACCATCATCTTTCTGCAGAGGTGACACTGCATTTAAACCTCTGCTGTCACCCCCACAGCCAGTTCTTCTCCTGTGCACTTATTTAAGACTAAAGGCATTGCCTCTGGGCAAATCCAGCATGGGCTGAGGTGGAATGTTAAGGATCCAACCCCAGGGTGCTGCACAGGGAGCTCACCTGTCCTGCCCTTGGACCAGGCAGGCTGCTCTGCCCAATTCCTAGTGAGGCATAATCCAATATTCTGCAGCCCAGGAGCTTGGGTGGGGGTAAAATGGTGTTTATTGTGACAGGCTGTAAGTCCTGGTGCCCTGTGTGACCAGGTCATGGGCTGTCTGCTCTCATGCCTGTCTCAGAGAGGGCAATGGCACTTCTGTGCCAAAAGAGATGGAAATCAAACAATTCCGTGGCTCTGGCTGGTGCAAAGAACGCCTGTGGTGTGCTCTGTGCCTTGGGATAGGTTTGGGTTTTCTGGTCTTTCACTTGGCAGGGATTACAGGATCCTCTGTGCCCCCATTCTGGGGGGACACAACTGCCTGCTGGCAGAGCTGTCTCCTGTACCTGCTGCTTTAGCCCTCACTGGCTGCTGGGCCCCAAGCACTTGTGTTGTTTGCCAATCCTGTCCTCCACTGAGACTCTCTCATGATTGTCCCACTTTCCAGGGGTGTTTTTTACCTCTATCTACCTGCTCCCCAATTACTCCCCTCAGTCTCAGTGCCCCAAATGACAGGGCTGTCAGGGAGTGACTCATGAGCACAGGCTGAGCTGAAAGGTGCAATTTAGGAGGCTCATGTCCCATTTGTGGGGAATTTAGTGCTGCCAAGAGCCCAGCAGGGATCATTGATTTAGCTCTCCCTATAGATCAAACCCCAGCACTCACTGCTGAACTGCTGGAGCATCTCTCCAGGGAAAAAGCTGTGGCCAGTCCAGATATTCTGTGGGGTCCCTGCCCAGTTTCCAGTGATGGATGGGAAACTGCTACTTGGAGACTGAATCCCAGGGAACTTGAGTAATTTCCTACTGAAAGCTTTTAAAACGGGGACTTGCTTCCAAGGTAAGGCAGCTAAAATCTTATTCCTTGCCAGGCTTCTCAATAAAGTGGTGGCATAAGTGTGCCTGGGTGTGGAAATCTTAACCTGATTTCAGCGAGCAGTTGGCTGAGATTTTAGTTAAGATTTAAAACTGCCTGTGATGCATCAAATAAAAAATAAAAAAATATATTTAGAAGCTTAAAGGTTGACTAAACATGAAGTAAAAGGGAAAAAAAAGGGATCATAATGATAAGAAATAGGTAAGCAGCCTTGGCTCTAATGAAGCAGGGTGGAAATTATATATAAATATATATATATGTATAAAAATACAGAGCCATTACCAACTTGCTGTGAATGCCTCACCTGCCATTTACATCTCCTGATTTACAGTTACAATTTGGCTTTGGAGTGAAATGTTTTCTATTCCCAGCTCAAGTGGATGAGTAATCTGCAGCTAAGTCTGGTGTTTATTCCAGTCATCCTGCTGATAGCCTTGTTCTCCATCATTTGAAGTTTGAGATCTTTTAGAAAGAAATACCTATTTCAAAAAGAAATACCAACAAACTATTTCCTGTGGCCCCAGCTCAGACTATGCAGATAAATGACTCTGAGGGAAGGATAAGCAGTTTAAGCTCATTGAGAGGAGATGTGTGTGCAGCTCCGAGATTGGCACATCTGCCTGGGATTGCCCATTTCAAAATGAGAAATTTGCTTCTCAAGGTGCACTTGTTTTTCTTTATGAAAGTCAATGTCAGTAAGAAAGAATTATTTGATTGCAACTGGCTATTTTTAAGGGTGGGTTTTCTTCCACAGCTCCTTTCTCCCAGCTGAAAAGCTACTGGGATATTTGGGCTTATTTGGAGATGAACCACTCAGAGGTATGTCCTATAAAATAGGATGGAAATATTGATGGATGAAAAAGTTAAATACTTAAAGAGTAAGTTCTATTACCTTAATTCACAAATATCCCCAGAGTCCCCAGCTGAAGCCCTGCATAGCCCAGACCAAACACCTCCTGCACCCCTCCCTGTGGAACTGGGAATGGGGGGTTTGGGGTGGCTGCAGCTCCCCCTTGCTCTGAAAGAGAAGCCAAGAGGACCCCAGAATCCCATGGGCTGTGCACAGGGTCCCTGTGGAACAGCATTTCAGGTTTTTAGTCAGTGGCTCCCTTCCTGGTTCCCTGAGGCAGAGGATGATCCATAAATTTCTCTCTCCCTTATTTCTCAGACAATCACAGACCAATGTCCTGTTCTTTTTGCCATCCTTCAGGGCCTGTGTTTTGCCCCTAGGAATTTCTCACTTTTCAGCAGACCAGGGATCATTTTCCAAAGTGGGAAACCTTGGGAGCTGGGAGCCCTGGGAAGTCTCTGTTCTTGTGCCATTACTGAGCTCAGGACAAGGGAAGAACAAATTTTTTAGCACTTACCGCATTGAATGTTCTTCATGTACAGCTACATGCTCCTGCTGTTCCTCCCATCTCTGAAGTCTCCTTATTTTTGTTTCAGCCTCAGAGGATCCTGTGAGGCTATTTCACACATAAAAATGAAGATATCAAGATGACAAACCCAGCAGGTTGTGCACGGGGGTGAGGCAGTGGTGGCTGCTCCAGGGGATTTCTTCCATGTGCCCAACATAAAAACAATGGCATCACTTCATAATGGCTTGGAACTGCTGCTCTAACGAGGGAAAACTGTTTTTCTCTAGCCAGAGGTACACAATTGTCCTGGTCAGGCTGTGAGGTGTTACATTGTGTATTTGTCTATGGAGGCTGTGTCTGGGATTCCAGCAGGGAATGAGCCTCCTGTGTTTGGGAGCCCACTGTGGGTTGGGGCAGTTTGCACTCTGGGAGCCTCCCTCCCACTTTATTCCTTTGCAGATTTTCTCTGGTGTATTAAATGAAGGAGGGAGGCCTTGCTCTTATCAAGTTACCACGTGGAAGCAGATTACTGTTATTCATCATCTTATACCAATTAGGTATTGCATAATTTTTTCCCTTTTCTTAGATGATTTATGTTTCTGTCTTCTGTGCCTCTCTCAATTATTTATCACCCCTTGTTTTAGCAGGCAAGGTCCCTGTGAAAACACAAGGCACTGGCTTAATTTCTCCTTCCAGCCAATCCTCCTCCCCCTCAGCTTCAGGATAATAGAAATCCATGGAGCTTTTCCATTTCCTGTCATCTGCAGTGTTTGCACAACCACTTCCCTATGCCTGCCACAACCAAAATTTCATTAGTGCAACTGGGAAGAGACTCAGCTCCAGTTTTGCCTCAAGGCTGTTTACAACTTCTTGTTTACCAGCTATGGACAAAAACTATTCCAGAGATCATTACTGAGGAGATTGTGCTGTGAGGCAGCAGCTTCTAGTGTCAGAAACAGAGAGAAAAAACAAAATATGTATCCAAAATGACCATTATTTCTCCTGATTTCAGTGTGATAAGGGACAGCCCTGTCATGGCATGACCAAGAACTTCTGCCTCAGATCATCAGAGACCCCTGGAAAAGCCAAACTCCAGCAGGTAAGGGAGGAAAGGCACCTCTGGGGACAGCACAGGGACAGCTGGGCATGGGGACTGGGAATGTGGTGAGAGCCAAAAGCCACCTTCCCCTGGCCACAGTGTCTCCCTAAAGCAACTCCTTGGGGAGGCAGAAGATTATGGCAGAAAATTAGTGGGCAATAATAATAATAATAATAGTAATGTGGGGAAGAGCAGCAAAGGGAGCAACAGGAATGCTGCTTTTTAATGGTGAGAGCATCTCCTGGGATTTATAAAGCCCAGCTCCAGGTCTGGGATTAAAGGAGCAGTGTGAACTTGTGTTGTCAAATATCTGTGTTGGCATTCTGTCAGAGCTCTCCACCTTGAGCCCAGGTTGGGGTGCAAGAGCACCAGAGCTGCTTCCTTGAGGGATCAGGAAAATGGGCATTAAAGCATTTCTCACAAGGCTGACTCTGAACTCTGGCTGGGGAAAGCATCTGGCTCATCTGACATCTCAATAAGATCACCTCCAATGATTTTGAAAGCATATTGAGTAAAAACTAATCAAGATAAATAAGCCTTTGTCTGTAAGGACAGCCCCACAGAATGTACAACTATTCCTACACTTGTTCAAACCTACAAGCAGCTGATTTTGGGTGAGGGACTCCAGATTTTTGTCTCCCTGCCTTGCTGTGCAGGCATTTAATAAGTCTGTAAAATACAGACCCATTAAGACACTGCACTGCTGCTGATTTCTGAACAGGCACAAGAGAGCAGAACATGATGGGTTTTCACTGCTCTGCTTGTTCCAAACCTGAGGCACAGCAGAATAAATACTTTTTTTTTTACTGCACTTACTTCTTGAGAGTAAAGCACTTGCAGAGGCTTTGCTGAGCTTTCATACAAGCTCATCAGGATTCAGATAACTTGTGCCTAAATTTAAATCCCATTTCTATTAAGGAATTTGAAGCATCTTGAAAGCACCTGCGCTCACACTAATTTCATGCCTGCTGCCACCAATTAATTTTGCCCCCTGCTTCTTTAGGCATCCTCATCTAGGAGACAAAATATATGTGGGAAAGAGTTTGAAATGCTGCCTCCAAGTCAAGTTAGCTGCTTGGAAATGAACCCAGCTCTCTTGAAGCTCAGCATGTTTCAGACACTGCGTGGTCCTTCTTGATTGCAGCCTTGGAGTTGGGTAGCTTGTGAGCAGGGAATTAAATCATCCAGCTGCACACAAAACCATCTCATGTCCATGAAATGGGGCTGGATTTGGATACTTGCAGGCAGAAGGCTTGTGCCACTTGAGAAAGCTTTAATCCCTGGTTTCAGTGCTGGAATTAGTGACTTTTTAGTGATTATTGCTCAGCCACCTCACTGCTGCCAGGGTGCATGTGAGTTTCACGCTAATTTCAGCACATAGTGCACCCAAAACAGATGACAATGCTATAATAATAATAATTAATAATAATAATAATATAATCACATTGCTTCAGATCAATTGCAAGCAGACTAAAATGGCCTCTTTACAAATATCTTTTAGGGCACATTGGAACACAAGGAGGAGAATGGACTCAAACTCCTCGTTGGATTGGCCTCACTTGGATTTGCTGAATTACAACAGGACGTACAAGTACCTTTACCTGGAAGGAAATGTCTCCTACGTGGACTTCTACCTCCACCAGCCTTGGGTGGCTGCTGTTTTCATCACCTCCTACCTGCTCATCTTCCTCCTGTGCATGGTGGGCAACGGGGGGGTTTGTTTCATCGTGCTGTGGAGCAGGCACATGCGCACGGTCACCAACCTGTTCATCCTGAACCTGGCCGTCAGTGACTTGCTGGTGGGGCTCTTCTGCATGCCCACCACCCTCCTGGACAACATCATTGCAGGTGGGCTGGCTGCCCGTGGGGTGGGGAGAGCCAGGGGCGTGTAGCCAGGGGCGTGTGTCCAGGGGGCTCTGTGGGCATTCTGAGTCAGTGGAAGGTGTCCCTGCCCATGGCACGGTGTTCCTGGCCATGGCTGGAACTCCATGATCTTCCCTTCCATCCAAACCACCCCATGACTCTATAATTGTACTCAGGAAATGGAAGATGAGAGCGAATGATTTTAAGCAGAGTCCTGCAGTGAGATGGCAGCAATTTCAAAATGCATGTTTCCTTGCAGGGTGGCCCTTTGGGAGCCTGGTGTGCAAGATGAGCGGGATGGTCCAAGGCATCTCTGTTTCTGCCTCTGTCTTCACTCTGGTTGCTATTGCCATGGACAGGTAAGATGCTGCAGTCTGTAACCACCAGTGTCATCTCCCCTGGCCCCCTGACCACCCTGAGCCCAGTCATTAACCCTCCCAACACCACAACAAATCCTACGCAAAATAAAATCTGGGCAGGTCTAAAGAGCAATCTGCTCCTCCACCGGTGTCTCTTAAAGAGGGTGGAACTGGGCTATCCCAGCCTGCCAGGAATTGGTTTGTTTCTCAGCCATGAAGCTGGATTGCACAGGCAGTAACTGACAGGGAGGATGAAAGACAGGCAGTTTAAAATGTGTGTGCATCCCTGCCCGGGATAGGAGGCGTTCCTCACACGGCTTCCCCGGTGCCCTTGCCGCAGGTTCCGCTGCATCGTGCACCCCTTCAAGCCGAAGCTGACCGTCCCCGCCGCCGTGGCCACCATCGCGGTGATCTGGGCGCTGGCCGTGGCCATCATGTGTCCCTCGGCGGCGCTGCTGCGGCTGCGGCAGGAGAAGCGCTTCCAGCTGCTCCTGGGCACGGGCAACGCCACCCGCCCGGTGTTCTGGTGCCGGGAGGAGTGGCCCGAGCCGGCCATGAGGAAGGCCTACACCACGGTGCTCTTTGCCAACATCTACCTGGCTCCGCTGGCGCTCATCGCGCTCCTGTACGCCAGGATCGGCGTTTCCCTGTGCCACGCCGCCGTGCCCGGGGCCGGGAAGCGCGGCCGGGAGCAGCAGCGGGGAGCGTGGAGGAGGAAGCGGAAAGCCATCCACACGCTCGTCCTTGTCACCCTGCTCTTCGCCCTGTCCTGGCTTCCCCTGTGGAGCCTGATGCTGCTGTCGGACTACGGCAGCCTGTCGGACGTGCAGCTGCGGCTGATCAATGTGTACATCTATCCCCTGGCTCACTGGCTGGCCTTCTCCAACAGCAGCGTCAACCCCATCATCTACGGCTTCTGCAACCGGAGCTTCCGCCGCGGCTTCCAGGCCGCGCTCCGGCTCCAGCTCTGCTCCAGGCCCGCCTGTGCCCAGCCAGCCCCGGGCCAGGCCGCCCTGCCCGCCGGCCCAGGATCCCCCTCCCCACACAGCCAAGGGAGGAAACTGGGTCAATAAGCAGCAGGATTTGCTGATGGAGGAGCTCAAAGGCAATGGGATGGAGTGAAAGGCACTGTGATTCTGGCAATCTCTCTGTTCCCCATGGAACAGGGCTGCTTGAACCCTGTTTGTGGTCACATTTCATTCCTGTGAGGAATCCCTCATCCTGTAACTCTCATGGACTGAAATACTGCAGACCCAGTCTGGCACCCAGAGACCCCTGGATTATCTCATGGTTGTGCTTCTTCCTGGACATTGTGAACGCTGGGTCCTGCTCAAATGACAAAATTTAGCATTTTCTGTCACATTCCATTTATTCCCCTTGGTTGCTGTTATTTCTGTCACGTCCATTATTATTGCAGCTAGAGAAACAAGTGGAAATGGAAATTCGAGAAATAAAGGATAAAAAAATTGGTTCAGTGGTGTGTTTTTTGGGGAACTCAATTTGATGTTGCAGGGGCATAGAAGTCACCCAAAAAGACTGAAATTTAAATATGAGCAGGAGAGAAAACACTTGAGAGCCCAGTGGATGGGACAAACTTCAGCAGGGACAAGAGTGACACTGGAGGAATAGTGAGGAATAGAATTTGTGCAAGGGGCAGCACAGTATCACAGAGCACTAAGGCTTATTCTGTAAGGCCCTACAGGAGCCAAATCCCAGGTAAAGCCATTCCCTAGGGCAGTCCTCCCTCACATAAATAGGAGTGACTTCCACATTATGACATTCCCTGCTGCTCACTGTCTCAAAATGCTCATTCTCTTCCCTACACATTACCTAAATTTTATCCTCAAACCTTTACCTCCGTGTGCCTCAGTTTACCTCAAAAATGTTCATTTTCTGCACTACAGCCTACCTCAAATTTGCTCCAAATTTTTTTCCCTGTCTGTCCCCTGCTTGTTAACTCATTTTCTCCTCACAATGTCTAATTGGACTTTATGGAGGAGCATTTCTCCCTCATTTTAGGAGGAACATTTCTCCCACAAGCACACACTTTCTTTCACTCCATATCCAGCTGAGAAAACACCAAATCAGTGCTTGGCTCTGCCATAAAAGAGAGGAAAAGGGGATTTTGCTGGGATTTGGGACACGGGGTCTGTCCCCCCTCACACGATCCCAGGGTTCGGCCACGGGAGGCGGGAATGGGAGAGGGCAAGGCAAGAGCGAGGCCATGGCAAGGGTGAGAATCTCTGATCTCTGAGTTTGCCTTGGCATCCCAGAGCCTCTCCCCGTGCAGATTATGAGGGGAACATTTTCTGAATTGGTTGTTTACTGATCTTTTTTGTGTTGAATTAATGCATTTTGCTCATTTTGTGTCATTTAAGCTTTAGGTGGCATTTCCTGTGGGGGTGTTGGGGTGGATGTTGATGCTGGGAGAGGCAATTTCCCTGCAAAGCTCTTCTATAAAACATAACTATATGAAATAATGGAGTTTCTATGATAAGAACAGGACTTAGGCTCCCAATAGAGAACTGGGGTGTGCTGGGCAGGGACTGGGAAGCACACAGTTATTTCTGTGTTAATTTCTCCAAACATTGATTTCTGTCTGTTTGCTTCAAAACTTCAAAACTTATTTGTAACTTCAAAAACTAGAGCTGGATCACAGATGATATCCAAGCTCTTCTTTAGGACAGGGAGTGGAACCCGGGTTCAAGTATATGGAAACAATGCCAGGAAAACATGAATCTCTCAGAAAATAGCAGAAAATAATGCATTATAAACGTCTTTATTTCAGCCAAGTGCCTGCCACTATAGTGGGTGAATATTCAGCTGTACTTACTGAGATAGCACACAGGTGATGCACTGGCACTCCTGGATTAATGTGAGTTGCTGCCAGGTGTTTTCCATTGGGTACAGTTGCAGTACTGGAGCTGTACTGACAAGCTGGAGCCCTGAAGCACAAGAATCTGTGCTGTCCATAGTGAGTGTTGTCTAGTGTGTGTCCTGAGGTCCCTGAGCTAGTGCTGTTCTGTCACTGAGTCAGCTCATTCTTGTTTAAACTCTCTTGAAAAGTGCTGGAAGTGCACATGGGAGTATAAAACACATGTGGGAAAGCTTTAGGGCTGTGCAGCTTCTGAAATACACACAAATTTCAGGTTCCCACAGCCCCTCCTGCTGTATCCTTTCCTCTCTGGCAAGAGGAAAACCCACTTGGCTTTCCCATGCAGGGCTACCTGAGGCTGTGAACTGCAGTCCCCAGAGCATCCTCAGGCTCCTGGTTGTCAGGGGATGAGTGGCAGCTTCAGGCAAGCCCTGCCTTAGCCTCAGATTTTTGTCAACTCTTAACATTTAAGAAATCACTCTGGCCCAGTGCCCAGGCTGTGGGGTAGGTCAGAGGGACACACTTCCCTTTTCCTGGCTGTTGGGATTTGCTCACTGGGAAATGTCAGTACAGCTCTGCTGTTCACTGGGCTCTGGATACAGCTGCATTTGCCCTTGTGTTCAGGGATGTGATGTCCAAGGGCCTGTATAGAACTGAGCATTCCAAGGAGGCCACAAACAGGAGGGTGTGAGGTGCCAGGGCTGTGTCCCATTGGGCTGTGTTTCCCTCTGAGGACAGAGTCTCTGAGAAACCCATGCCAGCAATTTTTACAGAGGGAAAATTATTAGCAGTTACTTTTGATCCATGGTTAAGTTTCTTTGGAATTAGCAACCAGAGAGGGTAGAGATGGAGAGCATTTCTTTTGGCTCCTTTTCTGCTTTGTCATTTCATTTCTAGTGTAAAATAATTTTATGTGCTCCTGTTAGGGAATCAACATGTCTTTATTTTGAAATGTGAGGTGGTTTTATTTGTTTGGGTTGTTTTTTCCCTCCCCATGGAATCAGGCCTTGTGAGGCTGTGAACTGCAGTCCCCAGAGCATCCTCAGGCTCCTGGTTGTCACGGGATGAGTGACAGCTCCAGGCAAGCCCTGCCTTAGGCTCAGATTTTTGTTAACACTTAAAATTTAAGAAAGCACTCTGGCCCACAAATTTAAAGGATGGTAAATCAGGTCTGTTCACAAAATGAATTATTTATTAAGCAGAGAGGAGATAAGAGACAGAATTTGCGAAACGAGCCATTTTAGTTGTGTTGTTACCAGTCTGTGTACAGCAGGATGTTCGCCAGTCCTTGAGCCTCAAACTGTATGAAAGATGAGATGGAAATCAGGATCAAAGGGAAGTTCTCAGAGTTAATTTTTCATTTGCAGTGACTGGAGGAGTTCAACAGATGGGCCAGGGACTCCCTTCAGGTCCATTCAGGCTTCTCAGTCCAGGGTTGTCCTCCAGTGAATTTCAGCATTTCACATTTCCTGGCTCAACCTCTCAAGCATTAGGCAATTCTACAAACTACCCCAAAAATATACATGTACTGGTTTCCTCAAAGGTGTGATGTGACTCAAAGTGTTCCTTCATTTTCCAGTCAGGATTTGCATCCCTTAGCCTGAGGAGGTAGGAAGAGGTGCACAAAACTGCTTCCATAACTGCCCTGATGTTTTCTGTCCCTGTTTGTTCCTGCAGGGAGGAAAAGCATCCCAGCTTGGCTGGTGTTTCCCTGCAGGCAGAAGAGCGTAGGGCTGAGGCTGCTCGGCGCTGCTGTGACCCCCTGGTGGTGTCACCTGCCCTGGCACAGCCACCACAGCTGCCCAGAGCCAGGAGATGCAGCTGAGGGAGCCAGGAGGATGCAGGTCTTGTTTCCAAGGAGGTGAGAGTGCAGGATGAGGAAGAGCTGTTTTCCAGGCAGGGAAGGAGAGGTGGCAGGGAGAATTCCAGCTGGCAGTTCATCAAAAGATGAACTGGTTCTCAACAAACTCAACTGTCAAAATTATTTTTCAGGATGAAGAAAGAATGAAATGAGGTTGGCAGGAAAGCCCCTGTGAAGCAAAGCACAATTAAAATGCCTGTGAGCAGGAACTTTAAGGAATTCTGTTGCTTCTGCTGTCCTGGTCTTTCCCAGGTAGGTATGGAATGGAAAGGCAGTTTCATTGCCTCTGCTGAGCTGCAGCCACATCCCCCTTGAAGGAGAGAATGTGGAGGGAGTGGCAGGCAGGAAGGTGGCTTTTAGAGCACCACACCAATTGCTGCAAAAGAAGGAAAAGGAAGCCAGTAGCCTGGAATTGAATGCCAAGCACAGGGGCTGCTGCTTGGTGTTTTTTCTCCAAGTGTTTGTCCTGTACTGTCCTTTCAGGGATTTCTTCTCACTGTTCCATGCAATAAAAAACCTGGAGAAGGACACTTATGTATTTAATATGGCTGCCACCTCTCCTTTTTTAAATGAAAAGCTCTATCAGAAACAATGAGAACAAATATGTGATAGCCAGGAGCTTTTGCCTTGCACAGCAGACTTGATTTTCCTTTTCTTCTCTCTTTCAGGTCAGGAAAAATCATTTAATTCGACCCAGCTCTGGCAAAACCTTTGGTTTTGTGTGGGATTGAGCAGCCAAAGGCCAGAGCCTGCAGCCCTGGTGGCCTGCACTGGAGGAGACCTGGTCCTGCCCAGGCTGTGGGGTAGGAGGGAGACACTTCCCTTTTCCTGGCTGTTGGGATTTGCTCACTGGGAAATGTCAGCACAGCTCTGCTGTTCACTGGGTTCTGGGTAAATCTCCATTTGCCCTTGTGTTCAGGGATATGCTGTCCAAGGGTCAGAGAAGGAAGGGAAATTACATTTTATTATCTAATATTTTCCCAAACATAAAATGGGATGTTGTCCTGCCACTCCCCAGACCACTCCAGGTACATGGGAGTAGCTCAGAGCTGTCAGGGTTGCAATGGAATTTAAAATAAACTGAAGGTAGAGAATAAAATAAAATAAACTCTCAGTAGAGAACAGACGGGGGAAATTTTGGGGGGTAAAACTTGAAATAACCTTTAGGGCAGAGAATGAACAATTTTGAGGTAAAAATGAAATAATCACTAGTGGAAAGATAGGGAAAATATTGTGAGGAAAGCTTTAGTTAATCTGTAAGGGGAAGAATGAACATTTTGAGGTGAAGTGGGGTAATCCATAGTGAAGTAGTTGTATTTTCCAGAAGTAGGGAAAATTTTCAGTGTAAATTTGAGGTTGCGCACTGGGCAGAGAATGGATAACTAGAAGTAAACAGAGGAAATCAGGAATGCACAGGTAGGAAAATTTTGTCAGTAAAGTCTGAGGTAACATCTAGGGGAGAGCAGGAACATTTTGAGATCAGCTCATGTAGTAAACCCCATAGATTTAGGAAAAGCACCATGGAAGATATGAACAATAGGAATGCTGAAACAGCAAAAGAAAATTCCTGTTTTTCTGTCCTCCACCCCCTAACCTACCTCTGTAACCCTATAAGGCAATGTCATGTTAACCCCTTACCCATTGGTCAAGCTTGGATCCTTTCCAACCCTATAAAAGAAGCGTACTGTACCCCATTAGGGGAGAAAGAAGAAGAGCAGAGACCCTTCACGGACC